CAAATACAGGTGATCAAACAAATGGATCATCGCGCTGTATTCCCATATCCTTGGCCGGCAATACAAGCATCGGACTTTGGTAAAGCGTTCAGCAATGATTCGCCAATAATGTTTAGTCCGGGACATTTAATTGTGATAACAGCACGCTGCTTTGACAATAAGAAAGGACAATTTATAATCAAATTCTTGGAAAGTGATACGAAAAGAGAGGAGTTACATTTCAGTGTGCGCTTTGATCAAAAAGCAGTTGTGCGTAATTCGATGAATAAGGCCTTCGAGTGAGTTTAGTGTAAATAAGTACATAAAATAAATTAAAATTTTAATAAATTAAAAAATACACATTTATTTTAGATTCGGGCAAGAGGAACGCCATGGTGGATTTCCCTTCGTTTTTAATCAGCAGTTTAAACTTGCTATCGCATTCACGGAACGTGAATTTCTCACCGCTGTAGATGGATATAACTTCTGCAGCTACGCCTATCGCACAACGAATGTATTTCAAAATCTTGTCGGATTTAAAGTGACGTGCATTAATGGCTTGCATATGCATGTGACTGGTGTAGATCATTTGCAAATGGGTGACCCCTCTTGTACGGGGTTCGAAAAGTATTCCAAGCACGATTATGAATGTGCTTAGCATGATTTTTTTAATTTTATAAGTTCAACTTTCCTATGCTCTATATGTACATACGTATATGTTAATTATTAACTAACTACATTCCTGTAAGCATAAAATAAGAACCGAAGCTCCATATTATATAAAAAAAGAAATATTCTACTTACATTTCCCGGCGCTGTAACATCATTGCAAAAGTAACAACCCAAATTGGCGCCACTGATACATTTCAAGTCGTCAATATCTATCGCAAGGGCAGTGTCACCAGAAGCTTCGTTATTTTGTGCACCTGCACCATGACGCATAACTAAGTAGCTATCGAAGCCCAAAGCTGAATTTATAACTATCTGTACAAAAATTGAGCATTTTAAAAAAGAGCAAGATGAACATTAACTGTAAAAAAGTAGACCAACTTTTTGAAAAGTAGTCCCCAGCAGTGTTGGCAACCAGCGACTTTCTCTCGAATCAGTTAGTAGAAAGCTAACATCATGCTCTTCCACCAAGCGTTTAATAGTGTTCAAGTCTTCGTCAATTTGTTGCTGCATAGAGGCGCCTATAGTATGTCCAGGCATTGGAATTTGCATAACGTAACCAGTAGAAGTCTAAAAAAGGGAAACATATTTTATTAAATAATTGGATTAAAATATACATACATGTACATATGTATTTATACACACCGCAGTTGGATTTATATCCTTAACGCGTTTGGCCGCAATTTGTGCTTTCATTACATTGCCGGCAATTGCATCTGCATGGGTGTACAGCGTTTGTCGCAACGGATTTGAATAGCTGACACGGCCACTATCCAGAAAAGTTATATGCTTAAAGCCCCAAGCAAGCAAATTGCGCGCTACATTACACCCGAGAGTTCCTGCACCGAAGAGTAAGCATTTCGTTTTCGATATAATATCCAAATCCAAGTCTGGCACTAAACGCCATTTCATTAGTTTCAAATTTAAATTTATGGCACTTTCAACTAAACTAAAAATAAGACATAGAATTAGAGACATAAGTGTTTATGTTAGTATATGAACAGTTTAGAAGCAAAAAATACTTACATAGTTGGGTCCATGCTGTCTCGCATCGAAACGATGCGTGGCCCCATTTTATTATTACGATTGGGTTCCCAGCCAACGAATTGCGTCTTCTCATCGAAATTTACTTCTTCCGATTGCTGTACAGTCCAAACGAGGCTTTTACTGCATTCGCCTTTGTTATCGAAACGTATTCCCAAAAATTTTATTAGCTTCCCAACCAATGAAGGACTAAAATAAAAACAATTTAGTAAAATTAACATAATTAGATATAAACATAGGTGATCTAATTTATAATTGCACTTACCATTTGTAAAAGATATACGCTGCATATATACGCATCAGCCATGAAGGATGCTCATATTCACTGGGATCAGCAAAGGCAAAGTAAATGTCATCGCTTTGTTCTGCTAATGACGTGTTATCAGAAAATACATCTCTTAATTCGTAGATGGCGTTTTTTTTCACTGCTTTTGACTAGGAAAAAATTGGTTATTCCCCCCTTACTGTTAAGTAAACTATTTAAATGCTCCAACTCTGGAATGTCCGACAATATTTTTGGGCCCGAATCACTCGGAATCTTTAAAGTTGGCGTCAGTGGACAAGGAAAGGCAAACCAATAGTAGTAATTGTAGGTGGCAAGGTCCTGTTCAGAAATATTTAAAAATAGAAATTAGTGTGAGGTAGAAGGGTATTAGCTAAACAACTGTTTTTTTAAGGATTGGTCACTTGACTAGGTCTGCGCACTAAATAACCTGGAATATCCTATCTAGGTCACTCGAACAAGGCAAGTGACGTCATACCACTACTTGTGATGATTACCGCAAATGAAAGCACGAAGAAACGGGCCAGCAATTTGGGGTCCTCCAGTACGCGGTCAGCGCGAAAATCCTGTATTAATTTTCTTCCCTCAATTTGCAATAATTCATTTTTATCACACGCTTTAAAGTCTTCAATTGTGTTCTTATTGTAGAGAGTGCCGACAGCAGGGTGGCATTGTCTTGGTGCCGTGAAGTCGCTGTTGTTTTTATGATAGCAGATACAGCGTAAGTAATTATTGCTCATTCAAACTATGTATGTATGTATGTATGTACTTACCCATTGAAAGCGGAGTAATCTGTTTCGAGAAGACACGCCTTTGCGTTGAGATTAGTATAGTAACCAAATATTGGTTTAGGAGCATCCGAAAGTCGGTCGTGATTTAACTTGATTTCCGACAATTTGTGCCAAAAATTTGGATTTACAAAAGATTGTAGGGGTGCGTACTGTAGTACAATGTTGTTATTACACATGTCTAACCTTTTTTGATAGTAAACCCACTATTTAAAGTAATAATGTATTATATAGATAGAACTTGATAGACGTTGGCTATTCGGACCTCGTACCGAGCGACTTTATCCCAAACATAAAGCTTTTGGTAAAATGTATTTCTGTGCGTTTACTCACACACGCGTATCTGTCGATTAGTTCACTTCACGTCAGGCTGCGTCTGTTTTTTCTGTACACAATGCAGATTCTTAACAAAGACCTACGAAAATCGATATGGTACATATAAAACAAAAAGGCACTTTGATAAGTAATCAGCGAATCGGATATAAACAAACGTAAAATCATCAGCTGATTGCACAAGAGCGAAACACAGTGCTACCAGATGTTCTAAATGAGTGGCCTTAACCCTTAAATGAGTTCGACGTGAGAATATTTTGAGCATTGCTTCAACTATTTATATACCCGCGAGTAGAGCTATCGATAGTGACGCCAGCCATTGATAGTTTCGGTAGTTTGAAAAATAGTATCGGTGTTTCGATAGTATCGTATACTATCGTGTTGTATATGTAGGGAAACTTCAACTCCGAATAAAATGTGTATAATATATACATATGTTAATATAAATATTACACATATGTCAGTATAAATATTACATCTTAAACGCGAAATTCTAAATATTTTCCCATGTTCAATTCACAGCGTCACTTTATTTTAAGTAAAGATCACAAAATGTCAATACACCGGCACTATCGACCATCGATAGTTTTGCAGCTCTACTCGCGAGATGGACGATTGAAAAACAAATCAAATAGAAACAATTTTCAGATATACCGTCGCCTGGGTAAAAGATTGTCGTAAGCGCCATTTTGACGATTTTTAGTTCTAGATGCAGTTATATATTTTGAAATAAGGTCTTTCGATTGGTGTTATCAGTTTTAGATATCTCCTTTAGTTTCCGAAATATTGAAAGCTTCAATCGCAATTTTCCACAACCTGCCGAAATTAACATACGACAATCGTTTACCCAGGCGACGATTCAAGTTTTTAGTTAACAGATACTTTCGTGGAAAAAGTGAATACATATTTTGTTCCAGTGGACTACTGGTAATCGATACATCTATGCAATTTTCGCATAACATAGAAGAAGTAGCGGTTATTTCAGAGTACATAACTCCATGTTTGTAATTTTTGGATTGTACTATTGAAGTGAATGTATTAGTTATTTTGGGCTGGATTTCCTTTACGGACGATTTTCTTTCGCTTTCTATATCGAATTGCATGGACCGAATTGAAATTCTTTCACTTACATATCGTCACCTGAAATGCTAAAAGACGTAACAAACAGCATCGTTGAAATGCAAAAAGTCATAACTAATAAAAAATTTGAAATTCACTTTTTGATTTATATGATGGATTTCATCGAATTACAACTCCCTACATCAATTTATAACAAGTAGTTTTTAGAAAAAAAACCGACTTCAATTCTCATAAAAAAAAAATATATATATATATATATATCTCATGATCTAATTATCGGATCTAAACCAGATTAGTATGGAACCACCTCTGAGACACTACCTTTCCGATGCAAAAAGAATTATCGAAATCGGTTGACGTGGTCCCAAAGTTATGCGGTAACATACATAAAAAAAAATATTCCGACCAACTGATAACCTCCTCCTTTTTTGGAAGTCGGTTAAAACAAAAAAAAATGGAATAGTAGCCTATGTCGAAAAGCTGGCTTTAGTATAATGCGGCATTCCCTTTATTCTTTAAACGACAAGGAATGTTTTGATGAGACTAACAGGTCTATTCTGCACGTTACCGAAGATTTTGTAACCGAAAAATTGTATTACCAAAAAATGTTACCAGTTCTTGTCACCGCGATTCTAGGTACGTTGGTAATGCAGCTAAAATATTAAGTAATTCGGCTATGAAGAATTGTGCAAATCCTGGCATTGCATATTTCACGTTGCAATAATTTGTTACCAGCTTATGAGATGGTAACAAAATTTACCGGTTACAAGAGTATACAGAATGCGAAAAGGGTTTAAAAATTTACAGGAACTTTATTTACCGGTTACAAACTTTTTATTACCAGAGCAGAATAGACCTGTTGGTAAGAATATTGACTTGCTAGTATCGGAACTATTTATGCACGTTTATTTGCCAAAAGTTCTTCAATGACTCGGCGCCAGTGAGTCATTCGCAATCGTATGCTGCGAATGCCGCAGTCCTTTCGACATAACCCACCAAACAATTTGTGTTGCCAGCAATAAGAAAACGTGTCGCCCTCGGAAACAAATTTATTGCCGGTAATATTGCCATCGAATCGATTTCCTATTACCGGTCGCTCTAAAACGTCCGCCGAAGGCAACTCGTCTGGGCGAGTCGTTTTCTTATTACCTGAATGAGTCCTTTTCTTATCGCTTCAGGCGATTTTTGGAATAATTTTATTCTTTTTAATACTTCATTTATTTTTTTGTACCAAATTGCAACTTACAATCGGAATTAATTCATTTTCTCGCTGTGCGACTTTCTATTTTTTCAATCTTGTCCTTGGGCATAATTTAGATGCTTTTGGCCAATACTATTGACGCCATATTCATAAGTTTCGGAATTTTTGAGAACTTTTTTTATTCAAAATTGACATGAACGAAGTGATGTTGCCGATTTGTCACCACAGCAATAAATCGGTGAGTCGCCAATTTGTTGCCA